AATGTGACAGGTTGGTAAACACTAATATAACATAAGCAGCTGTTAAAGATAGTATTTCGGTTTTTTCAGATAACGTATACCACCATTTTATTTATCTTTAAAAGAAGAGAGACTGTTAGAGTTTCCAATCTCAGACAAACAATGAGGGTTATGCTGAACAAATTAAATATTTTGATTGGGTTGCTTGTTACTGTGTTAATGTAAACCGAACTAAACTACGAAAGCCACTGAGTAATTTGCAGTTTTCAATCACATTCTACGATGTGTTACCACGTCCAGATGAGCGAGTAAATCTTAAATTGCCAGAAATTTAAGTGAATCTTGGTGTAACTGTCCCACTTGAGATCCTCCCTTATAGTGGTTTCACCAGCTGGCTACGTTACTGAATCACATGTTTTGGCTGTAGATAGGGTAACAAACATCCATTGATTTTATCAGCTGTGACTTAGAGCTACCAAAAACGACGAGATAACAGTTACTGAGTGTACACAGCACAGTTAAAGATTAATAATAGGGCGGGATTCAATCATTTATCAAAAAGCCACCATTATGAGCAAGAACTAATAATTCTTCCAGAAATGTTTTAATGTTGTATTTTGGAAAGAGGCTATTACATTGTTACTGTCATTAAGGTCAACCTAAAAGGCAAATGTGTAACTTCATTACTACAGTTTATAAACCCTCCTCTCAACCCTGCTTTGGAGTCACCTGACAGCAATGAAGCCTGAAGTGCAAAGCATACTAAACACATGGTCACAGGCTGTCAGAATAGTGAACTCTGTCTTAAATGGAAGTGAAAGTAACATTTGTTTCATTTGCATTAGTGTGTGTCTTACTCTGTCAATGAATCATTTGGACTTATCATGGTGTGTCTCATGATCTCCCAACAATTCTTCTAAGGAAGGGAGGATAGTGATTTTATTTTGGGGGGCCAAGTTTGATATGTACTTCAGTCCTTCTGTTTCAGGCTAATTAAGTAATAGTAGTTTTTGTCTAACCAACATGTTGGAAAATGGAAAATGCCCCATTATTTTACATATACAGGGTGGGCCATGGAAAAGTAGCCTGTGTATGTGCCACGCTCTCGAGTACTCGGGCTACTTTTCCATGGACCACCCTGTAGTATCCAAATACAGTGATAGATTTTTTTTCTGAGAACTGCACAAAGTCAGAGTAACCCATAACTGAGGATAAAAATGGAAAATATGCATTATTTACTCTGCATTTTTCTGGATAAGTTCATGTTGAAATATAAGAGGTGTTTTATCTTTCCATTGGCAGAAACCCACCGTACAGTTCTGAGTCTAATCAGTTGTTTTGCTGGTGGAGTCTTCTTGGCAGCATGTCTGCTGGACATCATTCCAGACTATCTGTCGGACATCAACAGCGAGTTGGATGCTCGGCAGGTGGAGGTACGTTCAAGTATGGACAGATCTGGACAAACCCAGGGTCTGGAAACATCATTGTGTAGTGTAATGTAGCCTGTCTAGGACTAAGAGAAAGGCAGCTGTAGGTACTTTTTGTTATATTCTCTTTAAGAGCAAATATTGTTGAGCTGTTTTGTTCTGAAAGGAGAAGAGATCTACATAAATGTCTTAAATGAAGTTAGCCTAAGTATTTGCCAGTGCGTGGGATTTTTTTTCTTATTGTTCAGCATACACCATAAGACTACGTCTTGTTCCAGAACTTTGTAGTAATTGTATTCTTTAATAATAACAGTGACATTTCATACTAATAGGGATTCTGTCTTCTATAATAGGATTTATACACATACTATTCTGTAGTCTCTCTTTATTAATTTCTGAGGTTACCAGTCCACACGTGCACACTATTTCATTTCTATATTGGTCTTAAACAGACCAGCTTCCCTTTTCCAGAGTTCATTATCGCTGTTGGCTTCTTCATGGTCCTCATCATGGAGAAGATTGTCTTGAACTGCCGGGAGACAGCAGGGTCTGAGGAGGAGAGGTCACCCCTTATGCCGGATGACAGAAACAGGCACAGCCATGGCCATGGACCAAGCCCTGATTTGGAGAGCAGCGGCCACCATGTTCATGTTGACTTTCAGGCTCACTCCCCTTTTCGGTCCTTCATGCTCTTCCTGTCTCTTTCACTCCATTCGGTTTTTGAGGGGCTTGCTATCGGCTTACAGAACACTGATTCAAAGGTAAGAGGACAGAAAGTCTATGTATGTATAGACAGGTGACACATTAAAGGAAAAATGAAATGAGTGGTCTCTTCCAGGATGGCAGTGCCTCTATCCACAGGGCACAAGGGGTCACCGAATGATTTGATGAGTATGAAAATGATGTGAATCATATGCTATGGCTTTCAGAGTCAAAAGATTTCAACCCAGTTGAACACCTGTGGGGGATGTTAGAGCGACATGTTAGAGCGACATGTTAGAGCGACATGTTAGACAGCGTCTCCACCACCATCATCAAAACACCATATGAGGGAATATCTTTTGGATGAAAGGTGTTCATCCCTCCAGTTCAGAGACTTGTTGAGTCAATGCCAAGGTGCGCTGAAGCTCTCTCACTCTAATATATCTATAAGGAAGCAGAGTTTCAGTTTATAGCTTCAGGGTGTTTTGAGAGGAAATGAATCACTGTCATGTGAGTCATCTCTGTGTCTTCTGGTCACAAGACAGTTCAAACAGACTCGGTGTACTATCATCAATGTTCCCTCAGAAAGTTTTTATGTAATTGTGTGTTTTGTTTGTGTTCACCTAGAAATTTACTTCACTGTTTAGAAAAATAAACTTTAGAATGTTAATGAATACACCGATTATGAAATACAACAGTCAAATATAGTCCTGTGAATGAATAATAAATTTGACATAAAATAATAAAACCAGACATCACTGAGGTAAAAGACATACACTGTAGAAACTGTGATATAAAAAGACCCAAGTGCACCTTGCTGTGGACCAAATCTAGGACACTAAACTGACCTGACTGTACCGTTTGAATGAGGAGGCAGCATATAGGGTAATTCAACACCTGTTAAAAGCGTGTTTTTGCTGAGCTGCAGTGGCTGAATATTTGGCTTTGCTCCAGTGATGTGCACTGTGCCCAGGATCTCGTTCATACACACATCGCTGTGGGATGAAGTTACAGGTGTAACAAACATGGAGCTGCTGACCACAAGAGATCAGTGAAACACCGGCTTTCTGATTGTTTTAATGAAATCAACAGCAGTCTGGGAGTTCACGTTGCTTGCCAAATACTACAATGGATTCCTTTTGCAATTTATTGATTTATTCTAAACTAGATCACGGATAGGGAGTGTGGTCCGAACCTGACCCACCCCCAAGAGTGTGGCATCCACACCTGACCCGGACTCGATGCAGCTGACTTTGTACACTGTTTTCCCCTTATCATTAGACGAAGCAGTGCTCCAGATGTCTAAAGTTTGGCCTTCATATCCGAACCCCACCTGGATCTAAACTTAATTTCTAAATTTCTGTCTGAACATAGCCCAAACCCTCAGGTACCAATGGGTCCTGTTGGGCTGCGTTCGGGTATCCACACTCTATTCTAAACCCAGCTGTCACTCATACCCACTGGATATTGGTGACACTGATAAATCCTCTATTGCAGTATATGTAAGAATATTTTATATTGAAAAACTTAAACTGTTAATGGATAAAATAACTAGACAGTTTGGCAGAAATATCCGATGGTTTATAATTTATAATGTCTTATATTGTCATGTTTACCCACTAAAATTTAACCTGACCTCAAAAAGTCATCAACATTTACTGTCGTTTCCTATAGAAAAGTTATTATAAGAGGTAGAAGTGACCTTAAAACCTCTTTGTTTCTTTCCTCCAGGTATTAGAGATCTGCATCGCTATACTTGTTCACAAGAGCATCATTGTGTTCAGCCTGTCTCTGAAGCTGGTCCAGAGCGCAGTCCGACCGTCATGGGTGGCTTCTTACATCATAGTATTTGCATTGATGACACCTATAGGCATTGCTATTGGCATCAGTGTGATAGAAGCTCAGCTCACAGCTGGAGCATTGATCCAGGTCATCCTGGAGGGGCTTGCCGCAGGGACGTTTGTTTACATCACCTTCCTGGAGATCCTTCCACACGAGCTCAACTCTCCTGGCAAGCAGCTTCTCAAAGTGCTCTTCATCCTACTGGGCTTCAGCATCATGGCAGCTCTGACGCTTTTGGGCTGAGATCTGTCAGGTTGTGATCTGGAGCTGTGTGTCGACCACTGCAGCTTCCACATGTTTGTGGGTGACTTTTGCACAAAAAGACTAAATGTGTTCCTTGGGTTTACTGCTGCATTGTTAAATCTAGCTCTGAAGTTTTTAATGCTAAAAAGAGCATGGCAGCAGAAAAGGGTGTTTTATTGCTTTCAGTATACTTTTAAAATTTTTCACGAAAGAGGAGTTTAGCCAAGGTGTGTGTATAAATCGCTTCTTTTATAAGAGGATTTTATGGAAAGAGGAACTATTTACTACAAGAGAAACACAGGAAAGAAGTGGCATATCACTGATTCCACTCATTTATTACTGGTCTTGTTTTGAAACGTGCTCCAGAGCTGCAAACAAAACCAGCATCTTTGACCTTTGACACTTTCAAAGAAATCACTGCAAATGAAAGGAGTCTGTTGTATGTATATGATATTTTGTAATTAATTGAATCATGTCAGTTTATCAGTACCTCCAGTTCTTTAATGTTTAAAGTTTATTTGAAACAAATTCAGATGGGTTTGACAGTTTGAGTCTGGCAACCTGTTGTTTCTGAAAAGCACTGTTCATGCCTTCACTTTATTCATATTTGATGTTCTTTACTACAGGCTCAAACAGAGGATTGACCTTGGTAAACTGATCATTTTGGTAAACACAGTGCTTTTAGATGCAGTTTTGTCTCTTTGATGCCTTAAAAAGGCAAAGGAATGATGAGAACATATGTTTGATGTCTTTGTCTTCTCTTTGCACTTTGCACTTTTTTTTCCAAAGCAGTGACTGTCACCACAAATGAGCAAGGCGAATTGTGTTTGGGTGATCACTATTTTTTACATCATTTTGACCTTAAGCATAGTTTAGTGTGGTGGGTTCTGCCACTAGACCAGACTGTTTGTCCACTGTAAATACAGACAAAATGCTTTTAGTTCTCTGTTTTGACTATGGACGAATACAAAAGCTTTGTGTTTGCACCAAGAAATCAGATCTTAAACTACAGCATATGCTGAGGGCCAAGACTGCGTTTTACACGGCCCACATGTAAAGTGGCTGTGACTGAGAATGTAAGAGAAAAACTGTACTTTTCAAAAGCGGTATTACATTAGGTATAATATATCTGTGCTTTCAGTGTGTCAAATCCATCTGTTTAGTCACAGTTTCTGTTTTAGCCTGTCATGTAATGGTCAGATTGTTTCCTGAACAGAAAGGCAGTTTTTTGTTATTTTGCCATGTATCATATTTTGTGCAGATGTGGCAGTTATTGGTTAGTTTTTATGAAACATCTGACCAAGGATGATGCAAGAATTTACCCAAAAAAGGAAGGCTACTGCTTTCACTTCAGTGTTGTCAGTTTGCCATTTGTCGCCAAGTCAATAATTTGTTAACTTACTTTGCTTGTAAGGTGCAAAAACCTACTTGTACTATTTTGAGCCTATGTGATTATTCATCTCGTGACAGAGGTGACTGTTGTCATTTGTGTAAATGTAATCACAGTAAAGATAAGAGGATGTTTCTGCCTACTTTTTGTTGTATGAGTAAGTTGCAGAGCTTGTAATCACTGTTTGGTGGGTTAATAACAAATTTGACCCTGAGTCAAATTTTTATACTTTATGTAGATATACTTAAAATATAACACCACTTCACTCAAATGACCCTTTCAAGGATAATTGTCACTTAATTGTTTCAACTAATGTACTATCTAAAATATATTAGGTAATATTCATAGGCTTATGGAACATTAGAGAAATACTTTGCTTAATGGCTTCCTAAAAAGTCAGCTGCACATTTATTTGATCTATTAGTTAATACATTAAATGTATTTTTAATATGAAGAAATAGCACAGTTCAGATACATTAATTATGAAGGGAAATACAGTATGTTGTTTACAAGGACAGTGTGTAATTACTGTGGATAAACTGTGGTCTGATCATTCTTTCTTAAAACATAATGATGCGTTTGTGCTGGTGCCAGAGAGCCCATTGCTAGTTCTAGTGCGCCACTCAGGGTCATATTTTACAGAGGTTAGTTTCACGCCATCTTTTAATGAAACCATTCTAATCCAGTGACATTTTAAATTCAATTACAGTACTATCTGGTGCTAAATGTTTCCATATTTGGCAGGTTTCTGGGGGGTTCTGGATAATGTGGCAGCAGAACGGTGGTGCCACCAGGCAGAAGTGTTGATAATGAGGTTGACAGCCTTCCCCAACGAGGACACTGTTTAGTCAGGATTAGAGGACTGGAATTGTATTTTTAGGACTATAATTCAGTGATGCATGTTTCAGATTACTAGTAAAATAACACCAGAAGCGTTTTATTTTTTACTTAAAAGCCCTCTGGCCACCTTGCTTCATTTGCCTTTTTATAGAAGAAATGTTTGCATGTCACAGCAGGAAAATGACACGTGTAAATGTTTCAGCTAATTATGGCTGCTTTTTTCACTAATAAAAGTCAAAATGTCAGATGTGCCATTTGCCTGTTTGCCTAGCTATTTCTTATTTAAAGTGTCTTTTAGTTGTTGGTGTCTTCAGGCTCAAAACAGTCCGAGAGGAAGTAAAAACAAAAAAAAAATACAAACAGCACATGATGTAATAATTAAAACAATTAAATTATACGTAGCAGTTTAGATTTGTAGATCTCTTTCTCTGGATTTCTGTGTGTTCCATCAGGTTAAAGTTCCATTACAAGTAAAGTCAACTGAACATTTTAAATAATCAACCTAAGCATTATCAATAGATTTTAAGACCTTCAAAACAGAGATCACATGAATATTTATAGAAAAGTGTGATATATTGCTGCGTTAAGCGAGCCTGTTTATCGGCTTGCAGGGTAACATAACTAGCAGGAATTCCTTCACATCAAAGAAGTGAACTGTACGCCAGAGACAAAAACACTTGTATAGCCATGTTTGATGTGATACATGGAGGCTATGTTAACCCCTCTGTTTCTACCCAGGGATAGGAGGTTATTCATCCACTAATGAGAGGCGCTGACAGAGGAACAATAACAGAGGCCTCAGTGTGTGGAGCAAAGAGATCTAGCATCAAACTTTAGTGCCAGATGGTTGCTTCCTCTGGTACAATAAAAGCACTATTTTATTCTACATTACAGTAATTAATACCCGGTACTATAGGAGAGGCAAGATATCTGATGTGTCAGTGCCATCGTGGTTAAAAAATCCGTAATCTGTGTCCCGAACAAAGTGGTTCCCTCTGATGAGGATTTCAACAAAAGAGAGGAATGTGTGACACTGAAAGTGCTCCTTCCCTCTCATATGATATTTCCACAGGCAAATCCCACCTTTCAGGTCTGATTTGGGCCAACCACCAGTCTGAAAGCCACAGCTGGCATCACACTGGAGACCAGAGGGATGTGACAGACAATGAGAAAGAACCAAAGTCTTCCCTATCATACATGTTGTCATGTTTAACAGATAGTTTCTCTTTGAGATGTGATTATATTTACTTATGTTTCCATGTGTGATGACTTTGTCTATGTTTGTATTTTATATTATTTGCATGCTGTTTTTATTACTGATGCCCTACACCTCTCCTTCTCTATCCCAGCTTCCACTTCATTTCACAGTTTCCATCATGTAGACGAGCCGCACACTGTAATCCGCAGTGTCATTTCAATCCTAACCTACTCTGAGTGACATTCTCATCCTCCTCTCACCTCCTGTCTCCTCCTCAGCCAGTCCGTCTAGTTCTCTCATCCCATCTGCTTGAGGTAAGACTGCTCTGCTCTTTACTTCAAATAATGCAGATTAGGAAATAAAGGTAATAAAAGTCACCAATAAAACTGAACTGGTGTAGCTTGTCATTCGTAGCTGAATGCCAGGTAATCTTCAGTTAATGTAATGATTGAGTATGTCATAAACTGTAAATTCAATGCCCATGTGTTGTATGGTTTTTTTAATTGCACTGTTTGTTGTTCTGTATTCGAGCTTTCATATGTAACTGGTTACAAGGATTATCACACATATGTTTCTGCTGAACTGGAGATAAAGGTCATCTGTGTCATGATTCTTGGTTAAAGAACTGAAATCAACTAATACCCACACCACTATATGGTAATTAACATTTTTTTGGCTAAATATGCTTCTTAAATGTTCTAATCTTTTTTAAAGAATGATGGGAATGAGATTGTTTGATCAACAAAACCGCGTATTTCCGTGTACTGTGTCAAGTGAATGTAGGTCTGTTTGGAGAGGGCAAGCAAATAAATTACCCCCAGGTTGTGTAAAACAGAAACCATTGTACTGAAATTGTTTCCAGAATGTTCAATCCTTCTGGATGTAAAAACAATCTGTTTGTTTACAATAAAAATGATTTGAACTCATCTCTGTACCCTAATCCAGAATAATATGGAAATGATGTCTCCTGGCTCAATTTGCACGTAAACCAAAGTATATACTGTTATGTTAAATTGTCATATTTTCTTTAAAAAGACAATTTTGTTTTTAACAAAAAGAGCAAGGATGTCTGTATTGATGATTGGATTGGGGGAATAATCACAATTTGAGAAATGGACTTAAAAAAAAAAATCTTTTGTTGTTGTTGAATCCAGATGATTAAAAGAGGCACCTTCAGAACAGTATTAAGTGTTTTACACTGTTATCTGATAAAATGATATCAAACAAACCGAAACATACTGGCCACTAGATATTTGCTGGTGTGTTACTGTATTGTGTCCATCTGATGTCTGCTCCACTGATGAGTAAAGAAAGCAGTCTTTGGCTTGGTGTGTTCATATTCTGTTTGTTCCAATCTTCCTTTCTTCGCAGCTTTAGTGAACCTGCTGTGAGACGCTGCAACCATGGCCACTGTAAGTCGAATTATTTTGCAACAGACTCTCTGTTTACACCAGTTCAACAGTGTCTGGCTGCAGCTGAGTGGTTAAATACCTTGGAGCTGGGTTAAAAGCATCAGCTCTTGGAGCTTTGACTTTCAGCACATGATGCTGTTATTGTGCCAGTAGATGCTGGACTCTTAAGATGTTTTTAAGAAGTGGTTCAGAAGTTCCTTCTGTAATCATGTGAAGCAGATTAACTTGCCGCTCATTGGTGTGCAAAGTTTGGGGTCAGCTCACAATGGGTGCAGGCTCTCAGGTGCATGTGTGGTGTGTCTGTGTGGGCTGCCACTGATGTAGTCAAGCAGAAGAGTGTATATAATCTGTGACTTTGAAGGCAAACATAAAGGAGGATTTCAGCTAAACTGATTTTTTTTTTAGTGTATGACAGTATGCCCATAGAAACAGAAGAAAACTTGATGATAGATAATAACCTTGTTATACTGTTGTGAGCTTTCCTTTTTTAAAACTCTTCAGACTGGATCTTTCCGTATGATGTCAGAGGAGGAGCAGGCCATGCGGTCCAAACTGGAGCATTTGACAGTGAAGGATCATGGACCAGTGTTTGGGCCATGCCACAAACTGCCTGGCCACACTGTGCAAAAGGCAAAGCAAATAAATACATTAGTTCAAATCAGAACATTATAGTCCAATAGTTGGGATTCTTATTTTTGTTCCTGCAGACCCCAACATTTGTCAGATGTGTGTGGCCTTGTCAGTTTTCATGTGTTTTTTTCCTCCAGGCAAAAGATGAGCTGAATGAGACGAAAGAGAGGCGGGTGTCATCGCTGAAGGACCTGCGGGTCACAATGAAGGAGAAGGCGGTAGAGGGAGATGACCTGGCCAAACTGATACTGGAGCACTTTGGGGACAAACCTGACTCTCTGCTGCTGCGTTTCCTCAGGGCCCGCAAATTTAATGTTGTCAGAGCCCATGAGCTTATGAAAGGTGAGTAACAGATAATCTATTAGTCCATACATTCATATGTCAGCAACTTCTACTTCAGGTCTGTTGTAGAGAGATAAAAGTCTTGTTTCCCATATTATTTTGGCATCCACATTTTTAATTCAGTCTCTGCTTTATGGCTTCAGTAACTGAGGGTGAGACTACTTTTGTGCTTCTCATTAGCATGAATCCTGCCTATCACTAAGGCATGTGTTCATTAACCAGGGGCTTTGAGCTGGCTGTGAGTTTCCTCTGACAAAGCCCTCCTTTGTGTCCAAATGGGACAGCGAGTTTACTTTGTGAACCCAGAGCGTTCTGCTGGGAACTTCACAGTGCCTCTGCTGATTGTGAGGGATGGGGAAGGGGAGTTTCACAGTCCGAACATGCCTGCTTATTGTTTGCGTGCTTAGAACACACACAAACAGTTTTCATCCTTTATTTTTCTATCTATTTAATGATCAAAGTGTGTAGTAAAATGCTACAATGAAAGCATTTCAACAGTGTTATAGTAGGACTACTAGTACTAATCTAAATGTAAAATGGCCATCACCCCTAAACCCTAAGCTTAGACATACTGTAATACTCTAACACATGACAGTTATGAATGCTGAAGAACTTGTTCATGTGTGATAGAAATGTGAACTTATTTGTGTAATTGCTAGTGAATAAATATATGCATGCGTACACACACCATGCACGCACATTTACTCTGGGTTAATTGGTGCCTCAGTGTGAAGAGGCTCAGAGCAGCACTGTACAGGAGATGCACCAAGACAGTAGCATCATTGTGTTGTGTCACTGCAGCTGAAGTTTCTGTTGTGATGTACAGGTACTGTATGTGTAGGTTTTGGGGAGTTCAGCTAAAAAAGGCCTGTGGGCCAAATCCAGCCCTCTTATGAAAATATCTGGGTCCCCCAATGAAAGCCAAAGTTTTCTCTTTAAGAGTTTCTGTAAATCAATTTTCCATATATTTACTGTAAACATCAATATTAGTAACAGGCTGTATTATTCTTAAAAGAATTAAGAAGAAAAAGAAATACTCTAAGAAAAACAGTTGCATATAGAACTGCATCGCCAGTGCAGCTGTAGAACTACGCTGTTCCACAACAGAACAGTGGTTGAGAAGAAATGGCCCACGCCTGAACCTAACTGCAGACCCCTGCTCCAGGTTATGTGCACTTCAGGAAGGAGTATCCTGAGCTGTTTGAAAACCTGACCCCTGAGGCGGTCCGCAGTACTATTGAGGCAGGATACCCTGCGGTTCTGCCCAGCAGAGACAAGTACGGCCGTGTGGTCCTGCTCTTCAACATCGAAAACTGGGACCTGGAGGAGATCACGTTCGATGAGGTAACTGTAAAACAATCTCAGAGCACAGCTACACCTGCTTGGCATGCAGCTATATGCAATAGTTGAGGCAAATTTCACAGGGGTTGAACAAAATATTTGCCCATCTGTAAATCTGCTTGAAATCTTAAAGGTAGGCCTACTTCAAAAGTATTTATTAAAAATATTTCTCTAATTGGGCATTTGTGTGCATCACAGATCTTGAGAGCCTATTGTGTGATCCTGGAGAAGCTGCTCGAAAATGAAGAGACCCAGATCAACGGCTTTGTCCTGATTGAGAATTTCAAGGGCTTCACCATGCAGCATGCCTCAGGAATCAAGCCGACTGAGCTCAAGAAGATGGTGGACATGTTGCAGGTCAGAACAAATGCAAAAGGAAAGCTGGGAATTACCTGATATGGGACCTCTGATCTGTTTGTGAAGTCATTTGCCATTTTGTGTTTGTGCAGGACTCCTTTCCTGCCCGTTTCAAGGCGGTCCACGTCATTCACCAGCCTTGGTACTTCACCACCACATATAACATGGTCAAACCGTTCATGAAGACCAAGCTGCTGGAGAGGGTAAGGAGAGGGACACAGTTGCTAAAATCAGAGGTTTTTCTGACAACTGAACGCTGTTGCATTTCTCTTCAGGTCTTTGTTCATGGTGACAAGCTGGACATCTACTTTAATGAATTTGACGCAGACGTTCTGCCTGCAGATTTCGATGGGAAAGCCTCTGTTGCTGACTACCATGCCATCGCCACCAAGGTTTTTGGCTCTGAAGACACTGCTCTTTGAAAGAACAGCCACCCCATTTCAAACCCAAGAGTTACAGTGTCTTTCACGCTTGATGATTCTTTGGAGATTCAAGCAAAGATGTGGTCTATTTTAAGAGTCTATTTTTAGTTAGGAGCAGGGGGTGGTCAGCCAGTGAGTAATATTGTATATGGTGATGGGAATGGGACAGAAAAGGATAACTGATGGTTTGGATTTTACAGTTCTGACAAACTACATTTTTTGTTACTGTATAAGCTGATTGAGAACGAGGGAGCTGGTGATGTGATGATGTAGCTCATAACCAGAATGAGTTTGATTTGGTGTTCTTCCCCTTGAAAATGAATTACACAATACAGGTGCAGCTCAATAAATTGTGTAGTAAATTATTACTACACATTACTGAAATAAATGGACTTTTCCACGATATTCTAATTTATTGAGCTGCACCTGTAGTCTTGTGCCTACAATCCTGTCAGATGAAAGAGCACAGAAGGTATCAGAGTGTAAAGGGTGACTTTAGAAAATTATGAAGAGGGAAAATTGATAATAGCTTTGCCTCTATGTGATTTTTGTTTTGTCTCCTGATTCAGTGCCACAGAAATGGTTTGTCTCAACTGCCGTTTGCATTTTTGCATTGATATCCATGATGTACCACAAAGACCCAGTTTGAAATTTGTATTGGTTTGGAAAATGTTCAGTAAAAAAGATGTTTTTGTGTGTCTGTAGTTTTATGTGAATTCGATACTGTTCAATCACCCAGTTACTTTATATGACCAGATGGATGTTTCATAAAGGATTCAGGATTATTAGGCTTATTTTCAGCTAATTGTTTCATAAACAGGGCTGGGTATCATTCCAAAATTTTCAATACCAGGAAACGGTCCTATGCTTGTATAGTGTTTTTCTAAGCACTGCGGCACACTCAAAGTGCTTTCACATTATTTGCCCATTCACCCCTCTGCACTTAGACACAGGCAACATCATTGGGAACCTCTGCACTTAGACACAGGCAACATCACTGGGAATTCGATGTCTTGCTCAGGGACACTTTGACGTGTGGACTGGAGAAGCTGTGAAGCGAACCACCAACCATCCAGTTAGGAGATGACCAGCTCTACCTCCTGAGCCATAGCCACCCCTCTTTTTATTTAAAGAAGCATCCAAGTATTTCATGAGTATTTGCATAATTCCATAAAAACACTTTAGTATGATTTCCAATCAAACTAAAAAATGTTATATACAGTACCTTTAACAACCAAGGGCCAACTGGTTTTGTTTCATATATGGTTATTTAAACCTTAAACACATCTCCACCATCCTATAGCTGAATGTAGGCCAGCCACATCTTCATATAAAACTTAACAAAAAAGTAAAAATCATCCAAGTAGCAAGACTTTTGTGGTGCGGTGAAATTGTGCTCCAGTTTTAATCCTCACTGTGTTTAGATGTCTGTCGCTGGTCTCCATTCACCACTGTCATCTTCATCCTCCTCTTCAGAGAAGCTGCTGTGAATCTGTGTGCATCTGAACTGAGCTGCTTGGTGATGATGTACTAGTGCAGTGAAGTGAGGGCCTTTCTTCTCCTCACATGGTGGCTGTCCCTGTGGGTCTGCCTTGCAAGCCTTTCATTTCTCTTCAATAACTGACAGGATGGCGTGTTGTGAGCTCCCAGGCTGTGCCTCCATCTGAGAGGGCCTTGTGCAAATGAAACAGCTTTTTTATTTGCACTGTAAATATGAGAGTGTTTAGTGGATACCATGACACAAATGGTGCTTACTGCTTAAAGTCTGAGTTCTTTTTTTCCAGTTTAAACAGTTTGTATTTCTGGCCTTTAAATACACTACAATTAAAATAAAGCTAAGAAACACATTAAACTTGTGGCTCTAACCTCATGGAAAGTACATTTTTGCAGTTTCTTTAAAAGAAGCTCAAGAAACTGTGGAAAAGCTGACAAAATCGTACCTTTACATATACAGTAAACCTTGGTATTATTCATACAGCACAACAGCTTCATCTGCAACAGTTGTGCTCAAGTCATGTTTTAACTCTAAGTGGTAAGAAAACTGAAAAGGGAAAGTTGTTTTTCTTTTGAGAAAATAATTTATTTTTCAACACTAACCGTAGTTCCTCATATAATTAAAACCACACACACCATTGGTCTTCAACAAAAACACTCAGTGTTCAATATCATACATAATATTAAGTCATGTGACTGTGTCCCCTCTAGTTGTTGCCACATCCATTAGCATTAAAATGTTTGTAAACACAAAATTAAAGCTGTATAATGACACTGTACTGTATTAAAGGTCAGATCCCACATTCCATGAGAAAATGATGTTAAAGTATATACCATGTTTTGTTTTGATATGATTTCCCACTGAAATGGTAAAAGAATCCCCCCCTAGATAGTTATTGCCTTTTTTTCGGCCCTGGTCCCTCAAATATTAGAATATATGATAATATGTTATGGTTATATATGCCTTTTCCTTTTTCACTGTCAGAGGTTTTGGTTTTTGTTGATCAGAGGTGGTGATATGGCAGTATACACTAACTGTACATGTCTGCTCATCAACATGTATAATTTTTCACAAGACAAAGCAGTCACAACAATACAAAAACAAAAATTTTACTAAGAAAAAAATGCATCTACATAATACATACAAACCTGCATTTTTGTGCAAAGTTGGGGGAAGCACAGCTCTTCCTGTAGAAACAGGATTTGTGCTGGTGCCATCAGTATTCATCTGAATTGACTAAAAGCCAGAATGAACCCAAACCATGTGATTTCTGTTGAAATGAGAGCTGTGGACAAAGTCAACCACAAACTGTAAAATCTCACCATGTATGAATGAGAAAACGTTAGCCATGAAAGACTGGCAACTGTAGTTGCGGTCTCCCTGACAATAGGTGGCAGCAGTGACTTGTGATCTGAACAATAACAGGAACGACCGTCTTTAAAGGCAAAGAAAGACGTCAGCCACACTTCTCAAACAGGGATGCACCGACCCAAACACCACACTCTGTTAAATGGACTGGTATTATCCATTATGTCACTGATCCACATCACATATAGTTTTATTGTCAATTAAAATTTGTGTTTCCACTTTCAATTTCATAAATATGGTCATAGTGGGCTGCTGACTTACTGCCTCAGCAATCGCTGTTCTCATTTTACCTAACAGTTCAAAACAATAGAGCATACAAAGTTCCACACTGTGAGATATACAGATTTTTAATTTGGGGAAAAGAGAAGGACACTGATGTCAGATCAGTACTCGATGATGACAGATGCCCTGAGTCCAGAGGGACAAATTTGGATCGGTGAATCTCTATTTATAAGATTAGCCAAGGCAGCACTGATGAGATTAAAGCCTGGATTTCACAGTACCTGCACAGAATAATCCCTACATTTTAAGACATTACATGTCAAAAACCAACAGATCTCCATAAACTGGGTTTGTTAAATTGTCCTGGAACAAAGAGCAACCAATTTGACTTTGGTAGTTCTCATAACTGGTATTACAGTACTATTCTTTTGACAGAAGCAAAACATTAAACTACTATTTCCAAGGTCATGAAGGAACTTTACTGCTTTGGATGTTTGTTTTGATATCGATTCCATATCATTAACTGAAAACTGTTAGCATGAGAAGTTGTTCCATTTGATTTGGTTTTTAATATTCTGCACACTTCTGTGACAAAGTGTTTCTGAATTTTATTATGAAATGTCCTGATATGCCAAACTCCCTGTGACTTCAATAAGCGCTACTACTTGCAAATACTATGAAACCCAGGTCTTGGCCTAAATAAAATACACTGTTATAAACTGCTGCATATCTGTTTATCATCTCAAACCATCGAGCAGTGTCATCACAGTGTTCAGTAGCTACTGATACTGTAGCAGCAGCAGCAGTAAGCATTAGACATATTACAGATTACTTGGCTGGACAGCCTAAGCCCTTACAAGTTCTCAATTAGATTCAAGTTCTAAAAGGTCCACGGGTCCCAGTACTGCAGTAGGAAATCATAAAGACTGGCTTGTGATCAATTTTAACTAAAGTCTACGCTGCTGTGTTGCAAAAGCTTTAACACCCAGCCCGGTGAAGAAAACAGGAAACACAGTTTTTGAAAGAAAAAAAAAATCCCTAGCATTAAAATCTGTCTCTTCTTTCTTACATGCAGTAACACCACAATTTTACAAACAATCCACTAAAATAAACATCTTGTTTTGCATGGTATCCTCAGCCCTTCTGCTCATCAGACCTCATAGCTCAGATGAGGAAAAAAAAAACCCTGAAAATCTGCTTCACACTGCTGAAGTTTCCCTTTATCAGCACCACACTGGCCAATTTTCAAAACCCTAGGATCATCTGCTGGAAAATGTAAGTGTACTAAATTATTTGCACCAAATGAGGTGTTTACAGAGTTGAGTATTAGCCTCTGTGCAGTGGCAGTAAGTCTGTCTGTGCTATCAGAGAAGGAGATCAGGGACTTGGGCTGGACCCACAGCTGATCAATGCCAGACTAAAGACTGAGACACTGACGACGGACATCACGGGGAACACTTGAGTCATCTGGGGGGGGTTAAAGTGAGCTGAATCAAAGTGAAAGTATGAAACCAAGGGGATGGGGATGTGATTTATATCTGGGGTAGATCCCTGGTCATTTCAAGTGTCAATCAGGAAGATGTCATGAGGTGGAAGTTGTGTAACGTCCCACCATAATGCTCAAGTTTATCTACTGAACATTTTCTACCAACCACATAGCAACTGCACGCACAAAAGGAAAGACGTTATAACGGATAACAAACCATGAACACAGTCTAGATCACAGGTCTAACTCTCGGTCTACACAGGTGCACACAGACATCTACACTACATCTATGAAGTCACTCGCTCACTAACATACTACAAAGACGCTGTGCTGGTTAAGACAGCAGGCTAGACTATATGGCCTTGGCGGTGAAAAGCAGTTTCTTACAGGTACAGTAAAATGGGCACCGACTACTGCACAGTCCTTGTTTGGTGGAATAGGCGGATTCTTGTGTGCTCTTGTTTTTCCACTGGACTACTATAAAGTGGTGCTTATCTTCATATCTCGTCACATTTGGTCAACACCTCCATCAGACAACTGTCCACTGATGTGGACATGTAAAGTAACAAAAGGTTCCTGTTGAGTTTCCATAACAGAAAAGAGCACGAAGGCAGTTTAGTTGTTTTTGTTCCTTCACATACTGTAGTATAAGGGAAAGCAAAGGGGAACTGTGGTGAAGGCGTGTGACCGGGAAGTATGGGTCGGTAGCAGTGAGTAGCACCCGTGGAGAAGGCAGAGAAGAGGGAGCAGTTTGAGACTTAGTTCAGTTGTCCGGGTCAACAGAGCTGGAGAGGGTGGAGTGGCGAAAGGAAAGAGAAAAGGTGACAGAGACAGAAGTCGGAGGTTTAAGCTTCTTCCTCGGTGCAAGAGCTCTCACTCATGTGGTCACTGTGGCACGGAGGTTTCTGTTTCTCCCACTGGCACATAGCGTTGGCATAACCCACAGTCACTTTGTCCATCCAGGTGAGGGGTTGGGGGAAGAGCACTGCACCCTCGAAGAAGCCCAGGTGGCCTCCGTGTAGCGTCAGGGCAAAGATCACATTCGGTTTCTTTGCTAAAGAACAACACAGCACAGTCAATAGGACTTCTGTACACCAACACTGCACACGTGGGCTATCCAGAAATTATTTTATGCCTGTCAGAGATAGTGAGGGAGTGCCTGTGTGCTCAGCTGATAACAGTGTGACTCAGTTTCTGGGAGGTATGTTTAGTACATGAAGTTTGAGCCAATCAATAAGCTCCTAAAGGTACAAATTCTCTAACTGCATAAATGTGGAAAGATGTAGTGAATCCATTTGTACCATTCTTGTTATTCACAATAATTAAACCCTGAGACTCACAGTCTGTTATGTCCTCAGTGCAGACGCTGCTGTATGAACCTGTGCCAAGTGTTGCAGCTGTGGACAAGCAGGCACAGTGGTCTCCTGACAAGGACTGGCATGGGTCTCTCGATTCTACTACTCTTATTGGGGTCAGGTGAGGAGGCTGATGCGGTTGCCTACTGATGAAGATCCCACAGGGCTTTCACCGCTCTGCACTATTCATGACCATTGCTGAACTGCCCTGGAACAAGTGAGTGCTCGTCCAGACCCAGAGCAGAATGGTCTCAGAGCAACTCATATTAAAATTAAGACATTTTGAAGACAAATATATGGGTGCACTTATTGTTTCAAGCTTCAGTGTACACAACCCCTCTCCTCTTTTTCTGGTGCAGAGGCCATGCTTCAATGTTATCTGACACTGTGTCACCGCAACATTCAGCACCTTAATGCAATGAAAACAATCTCAACCCTACTAATGAAAGGTGAACATACTTTATTTAAACATTAAGTACAAGTTTTCCATCTCCTTGACTGACTTAAAAATAAGCTGTAAAGTCTTCTTATAAAACATTTTAATCTAAGATAATTACAGTACCAACATAGCCTTTTCATTTGCATCCTTTCCTGGAAGTTGCGTGTCTGAGTCACTGTTTTGCATTTTACTGCACAGGGAGAACTGATCTTCTCTGCACTAAGTGTTGTTCTCTAGAGGCATACATCAGACCGAGTCACATGTCCAGTCGGGACTCAACCAGCCAGACACAAAAACACTTAAAGGAGGATTTTCTAAACTGTGGTCAACAGGTTTAAGTGAGGTTCAAATGAGGTTTGAACTTCCTGTATAGTCCACTGCAGGTTAAAATCTTTGATTTTGGGAAGGAGTTAAATGCACTTTAAACAGGGGCCTTCAAGTGTGTGAGTTACAACCGCTGAAACGCATCAAAGGACATTACTCAGGCTTAGCCTCTGTGCTACACCCTGTCCTGTTCAGGGGATGGAGCCAACACATCACCCTGTCAGACTGCAGACATGCCTTCTGAGAACAAAATGTAGGGTGAAACTTGCAGCCATCAGTCAGACAGGACAAACCTGTTGTTGAAAATATACCCGCTGATGATCTGTCAGCAGGCGTATCGGCTACTTGACAAACTCAAGTACTGAGCTTCACTGTAGGGGCCCAAGTACTGAGTATTATTTTCAGTTTACTTTTATCAGAATTTTTCTTCTGTATTAAATATTCAGTATAATTGAGTATTATACATTTTTCAGATTGCCTGGGTTATTCACTGCAATGTTTAGTTACCTGCTAATGTGCGAGGGATGGTGAGCAGTGAGTCATGGACCAGAGGGTCATCTGCAGAGTTGACCAGCAGCAGTGGCACATTTACCTGAAAAGAATTTAAATCCATACTGTTCATCACACAAATATGGAAACAGGCCAAAAAGAGAAACAAAATAAGAGATGATGTGAGGGATATGCAAACGCAGCTCTTACATTGTGGATATAATGAACACAACTCTCCTTCTCATAGTACTCTTTGAGAGAGCTGTGGCCGTGGAACTTTCTGTTGAAACACACAGAAAAAGAAGAATCGTTAAAAGAATTTGGCAGAGATGAAAACCTGGCTGAGAACCACAACTCAAATATTTCAGATTCTCAGCAATGACAAATAAATGAACACTACTGTAAATAAGTAAAATACACAAATGGAAATTCAAAAACACAGATCTGTAATACACAACATCAAAACAACACTCAGATCCATGACTTTCACTAGAAACGGTCTCACAACAGTTGTCTCCTCACATACTGTACCTCATGATGTTGTCGTCGATCTGCATGAGAGATGTCGCCGTGTATAGCCGACTGAGGTCCACATCTACCATTTTAACTGAGCTTCCTCCAAACAGACTGTGCCTGTAACATGCAAAAAATACACAGGTATAATCAGAAGTGCAGTAAATAACTCACTCACTAGAGCAAAGAATTAAGGGACCCAATGCCGACCCCAATATTCTTTGTGGAGTAACGTATTGAAGTCAAAAGAGAAGACAAATGTTTATCATTCTCAACATTTTAAAAATGCAAAGATCCTCCACAGTGTTGTTAATATTTTATTTGGCCCTTCCCCTTCACTTAGGAAAAACGCAATAACCTCTGACTAATATTTCCATATAATATAACAGGATTGGTACAAGAAGAGCAGTCTCAACTTGCTTAACCCTCACAGATGTTTGATGTTCCCCTGTAGCACAAAAGGATCTAAAAAAGACCGATCAGGATCCACTTAAAAACATTTTCTTCCCCTGTATTTTTAGGATGATCCATAGTTTTTCAGGAATGTTTAGAGAATGTTTAGAGACCATGTTGTCGGTCATATTGTTGCTAGAGGGCAAAACAGAAAACACCTATGTAAAAGTAAACATGGTCAGCACTTTCCAGTACTGGAAAACTGCAGGGAAACCATTTGTAAAGCATGTGTGAGACCAACACTGATACCTGTGTGAGAGGATGATCTTCTTCATATTATCAGCCATGAGAAAGTTGTAGAAGCGTCTGAAGTGATCCCACTGCAGGAATGTTTCCTGAGCTCTGAGAGATGTAGACAAACAAAGGATGTCAGGTTTGCACAGCCTGTCTTCATTCCAAACAACATACTGAATGTCCTGTGTAATCCACTGGACAAAGAGCCGCACTGGTGGCGGGCAGCAGTGGTGTCAGGCGTTCATATGCAGCTCACCGATTGGCACAGGCTGAAGCAACACCACAGCTAAACATATTCAACAAATAACTGAGCATAAAAAGTAAGATTTACTAATCACTCCATATTTGTGGAAAACGGGGAGAGCCACAGGTCTCAGTGGATGAGGACAGAAGGGCCAGCTTAGCTTTGGAAACTGACATGAGAGGGAAATTTATTAAAAGGGGGGGAAAACTGAAGTAAATCAGTAGGAAAAATCTTGAGAATCACCAGACTTTTACTTTCAAACACAGAAGCTGCTGCTCAGTCCAACATAAACACAGGGTCCACTCCATGACCCATGTGTGCTGGTGGTTCAGAAATACCACCAAAATACACTGGTTTGTCGTTGATAAAATGTGACTCCGTACAAAAAGTGTTTATTCTAGACACACTTTAGACAGCCAGTTCAGTCCATCACACTGTGCAAGCCAACCTCTCTGCACCGTGTCTCAAAGAAATGGGATTTTAGTGCAAATATATAATATGGAATAGACAGTGCAATAGAACAGACTGCATGAATAATTTCAAAGCATTAGCCAGCACTCAGAGGTTCATGGGCCTCTGGGGCAAGTGTTACCACTGCTTATTTAAACAAAGTCTTTCAAAATAACATATGCCAAGTTACATCTATTAATTAGGATTAAAATAGTAAGAGTGGCTGAATAAATCAACAGTGATAACAAAGGCCTTTTAATTAACAGATGAGAGGAGCACAACCCACCTGAGAGCGCTGTACCCCTGACAGACGCTGACACAACACAGCACTCGCTCCTGGTTCATTCTGTTTTCACCCAGGAACTTGCATACAATGTTTCCACCCAGACTGAAACCTACCACGATCAGCTGGGTCTGAGAATACGCCCGCTTAATGTAGCCAACCATGGCTGCAAACTCCCATGTGCAGCCTGTAAGAGAAACGGTAAAGAGTTACCAGTCAGTACATAGAGCAACACCTCTAAGGCACAGACAGATTTTCTCTGCTCAGCAGTTACAGCTGAAGGTGACTTTAGCTCAGGCTATTAAATTTATGTCATTGTCAGACACATCAAATAAGCTCGGGTCTGAAATCTGAAGCGCACATAGCTTTTTAGCTTTTACCCTGTACTAAGATTAGTCAAAATAAAAACAAATAATATTAATATACCTAAAAGTAAACCTCATTACTTAAAAATGAAGAAAAGGTGCCACTAATAAATACATTTTTTTATAATCTGCTTTGAGCTAATATCTCAGCGGCACTCACTGCAGTGAGTGTGGTTTCTGGCCAGTGTTTAAGCCTCGACCACACAAGATAACTGGTAAGGAGCAAAAAGGATGAAGCAGCACTAATCAGATTAAACTAAATGTTTTTTTTCCATTTTATAAACTGAACTATCATTCCTAGATACTACTACTTTGAAGAATTATCTCTATGGTGAAATACTGGCTTTCCTCTCTCTCTCTTAGGAAAGTACGACTGAACTCAGCTCCCTGCTCTCACCATAAGTAAACATGCGTGGAGAAGTAAGCTCGATGTTGGGAAGAGCTCCCAGGTGGTTCAGCACAGCACAGCGGTAACCGTCCCTCTGGGCGCAGTCCACAAAGGTTCGAATGTATTGCTTCTCACTATGGTTACCGATACCAGGGCATATCACCATAGTGATGTCATCTGGTGAAACAGGCAGACAGGTCAGAGAGATATTTACCAGTGACAAATACGCAAGCACAGATATGAAGGAGAGCCTATGTATGTTATTCTCCTAAACAGCACACCACAACAAAGCAGCGCAGACAATCCGCAATAAAGGATTAGGCTGTTTGTCTAGTATAGGTTTAGCAAAACAGAATGGAAATAGTAACGCTACTGTTTTGGGAAACCAAATGTCATGTGTCTTAAGCTTCCTGAGAGGACTATGAGGTCAGTGTTGAGGTGGGAGGGTCAAGGTTCAGCTGAGGCATTCAAAGAAAGGACTCCAACTCTAAACCTCTCACACGACTGCATTGCAAACATGTTTCACCTCGCTAATGCTCAAATAAATAAATAAATAAATAAATAAAAACAATTGCAATACCACAGCTGACCTGGAAAAGCTGGCAAAAATAACCAAAGCTGGACATAGTACTACTGGTGGCATTGCTTCTTTTTAAATATCTCAAGTCAAACTTTTTTTTATATAGTCCAACATCCCACATTTGTCTCAGAGGGATTTATAGCTTACAACTCTACCTATCCCTGACCCTTGAATCAAATAAGGAAGGACTCTTATCAGGAACAACAAAATGGGAGAAACCTCAAGAAGATCAGCAGAGGAGGGATCCCTCATCCAGGATGGACTGACACTCAATAGTGTCACATAAACAGACTAAACAGAAGCAGTAGATTACATTGTAAAGAAAAATAAGTGCACTATATATCTAGGAACTACAAAATATATTCATACTTGTACTTTTAGCAGTAAAGAGACAGTTAGCCAACACATAATAGGTATTGTCCTAAAAACAGCAAAAGGCTGGTGAAGAGATCTTGATCAAAAGCATCACCTCCTGTTCGATGGTCCCCCAGTGGCTCAAAGAGGTCAAAGGTTGCAGTGGCCCCATCATGCATGGGTAAGTACTTCCTGATTCCACTGGGGTGAGGAGAGCTCACCCGACCCAGTTTACCATAAAGTGCCGTCTGGAGGTGACCACTCTTACCCCACAGTAAGGGAGGAATGTACCTGGAAAACACAACAATGGACTCTGCTTACTCTGCTGACACACTCTGTAAGAGCACAAGGTTAGTGCTCAGAAATAACAACCCAATGGTATCCTGAGCACATACCTGTAAACTAACACTATTTGTGTATACAGTACACAAACCAATCATAGTGACAGTAAGTATCTGCAGGGAGCAAAGGGCTCAGTTACATTAAACTGTTACACAATCTTACGTTTACTGTGGCTACAACAATTACTACACCTAGAAAATGCTCTTACATAAGAGAATTGTCCATCAAAAAGCAGACGATTTCCATTTGATGACACCGTAATCACCTCCTGTATGCACTGTATGGGGCCCTGAAGTTTAGCCACTCTTTTCTAGGAGGTATTCTGCAGGTTTAATGGATGACTACAGGGAGAGGACAACCTGTTGTTGTAAGGTCAGTAAATATAATTATATATAAATGACAGACAACTTAAATCCCAAACTGCTTTTTTTTCCCTCTGCTGGTATTTATTGTTTTTACTTCCACCAAGGAGTTTATGTTTTTAACACTGTTGGTTTGTTCATGGCACAACTCAAAAAATTAAAAAATGGAACAATCCATTACATTTTGGTGGTGGTGCAGATCATCACCCAGATCCACAAAGTTTTTTTTATGGCATTATGAGGAAACTGAGCTGCCGTGGCAAAGGACTGCACCCTCTGAGTGCTGTGTAGCTCTCTAATGAACAGGCCTAATAAATCATTTTTGACCATTTAAACTTCAGATACATACACATAAAACTGACAAACATTGCTTCTGAATGGAGGATAAGTATTTTGTGTTCCTCAACTCATATGACTGAAAATTTAGTGCATGCCTTTTTAGTACACTTTATAAATATTACTGATGTAAACAAACCTCAAACCTTAGATACCAACTTATATTGTTAGAAACTTTGTCAAGCCTTAGTTTCTGTATTACAAGTCCGAGGGAGTAACAGCGGATTCTGTCTTTTCTGAGTTTGAACATTTTGTTTAAACTTTAATCACTGAGCGGTAAATGTCAGCTTCTCACACAGTGTGTGCAGCTGTACAGGAAACAGGAAAAGTAAACAGATGCATTAATATGGTTTGATGAAGCAAAAATCTCAAGTCCAGATCAAAGTGCAGAGGTCAGAGGCTTTTGATAGCAACAAGCACACACCACACACTACAGCTGCTAAAAATAAATGACTTGTCTTGACTATCTATCAAAAATTGCTTTTAAAAATGGATTAAGGGCAACGTTGGTGTCCCATAGAGTATATCTAAAGGTATATTACAGTAACTGCATGGGACTGGACTTGAACCACTTCACTGTCCTTTACTTCTGCCTGTTTTCTCTGGTGCTGCTTTCACATGCACATGTAACATCACTGCTGTAGCATCAAGGATCCCTAACAACCAACTAAGGTGTATTTGTGCCTTATTTTATGTCAAATTAAACTAATGAAACAAAACCAAGTTAAAGACATTTGTTGTGGCTTTCCTCTATAATAGCTAACCACCTATGTGCATGTTCCCAAACACAGCCAAATAAGAATGATGTTGACTCTGTTAACCTCACAACACCCCTCTGGTGCTTTCCACTGTGCAACTGATCTCTGTTATGCAACACAGCAGGATGCCATTATAAGATCTGAACATGACGTTTCATCAGCACAGATGATACTGCACCCCAACATTAACAATGCCGGTGGGTTCCAAGACTTCTGCCATGTCAGTTAAGCTACACACAGGGGCATGCAGTACATGTCTGTGAGCAAAATATGATGGCTCAGGAGGGAATGACAACAAGCCAGACTCAAATGTAAACATCAGTGTGGCCTTATGTTTCAATTACACTACAGCTGAAAGGCAAAGGGCTCAGTAAAAACAGTTACATAAGCAGACACTTGTCCCAAAGGCTTGGAGAGAGGAGCCCTGCAGAGATGAACTTTCCTCTGGAGTATTTAATCATATTATAACATTTATTTGTATAGTGCCTTTCAAACCCTATGCTGCCTACAAAACAACAAAGCAAAACCACAGGAATAAAACCCAAAAGCAAGAAAAAAGTCAAAACCAAAGTTACAATAGCCCTTTACAGAAAATAAGACGGATATTAAAAGTTTAGTGTGCATGAAACATAAAGGCTAAAAAGCTATTGTAAAACATGCTGTGCACCACTGAAAATGTTGGAAATATTTCTTAGACGATAGAAGCAGGACTGGAGAAGCTTGCTGTCAAACTTGAGGCTGGATTCAAAGAATTCACCTAAGTTTTTGTTTTACTGCAGACTTGATGTTTTTGGCACCAAGATGTAACTTAATCTGCAAATGCCGGTTCTCTGGGCCAATGACAAGGACCTCCGTCTTTTAAGAGTCCAGCTGTGGAAGAAGTACATGCATCCAGTCTTTCACTGCTAATCAGTTAACCAGACAGGACATGGAGGTGTCACTGTGCTTTGTGGGAAGACAGTGAGAACCTGCCTTATTCCAACAACCAATGGTTTGCATCAATAATTATAAACTCAAATGAAAGATTCAAATTCCAGTAAACATCAGAGTTACCATGAGGGAAACCAAGCATTGTCCCAACTACAAATCCTCTTGCTTTGCAGCAAATAAGGCTATAGTTGTAATGCAAGTGTGACAAATCCAATCTATCTTTGGGATGACGCCAAAATTACAGCCTGTTGTGTAATTCATACCAGAACTGAGGGTAAAGCACACTCAGGAACAGGACAGACGGGACCAATGCCAGACAAATTGCCATCTTCACTGCAGCCCCAGATGGCCTAGCAGCAGCACCATATCCATGGTAACAGTTTGAGTGGCAGACACAGAACTAAGAAAACAACTCACTCTTTGGTCAGCTGTGGACAGGACTTGAGAAGGAAGCGGTTGAGTGGCGTGTTCTGGTAGGTGAGGTCTGGGGCCGCGGTGGGGCTCTTGAGGTTCAAACAGCGGACGATGATGTAGAGCACTGTGGCCACAGCTGCCAGCTTCATGCCATCAAACATTGCGGGCATCTCCGGAGAGATGGTGTGCACGTCTGACTCATGGGTGCTCATGATTATTCTGAAAATCACAACAGTGGACTCACTGCTTTCACTAAAATGCATATATAGACAATAAATAAAGAACAGCATTTTGAAGAGAACCTTGTACAGAAATGGAAAAGAGAAATAAATGATGACTAACAGACCTAAATATTCCTCTTGGTGCCCAAGGTGCTGTAGCAACAGATCTGTGGGAAGAGAGAGAGTGCCTCAGTCAGATAAAGCACAGTTATTTAATAATCCACTCATCCTAATTACAACAATTACAGTGACAATAGTAAAGAAGCCTAGCTACATGGAAAATAGAGGTGCTGACTTTTAAATAAACTATTACAGTTGGCAGACACACTGTGATTCCATACTGTGTAATATGACTTATGTTTTCATGCACCAACACAGCTATGCCTTATAACATTTAGTGAAAATTTAAAAAAAAAAAGAAAAAATAAACACTTGAGCTGTGAAATTTTCAGAAAAAAAGGAAGTGTAAAGAGCACAGAAAGATCACAGAAGCTCCCCCTAACACAATTAGAGAAGTTGTGGTACAAGATTTCACAAAAATAGATGACAGCATTTAGCATTATTATGACCAAGTACCACACAATACTGCCATTAAAAAGAGAATGTGCTGCAGATGTCTGCTGCTATAATGCAATATCCTGCTAAAACAAAATGCAAAGCTAAAACAGGCTTTTACTTACATTGTATATTCAAGCCAGTTCAGCAACAACCAAGTCTGAAAATGTGAAGCAATGAAGTCACAGGGATGTGGTCAAACCTGAGGAGCATTAAAATAGGACACAGTTGAGTCCATTGAAGCATCCTGATTATGTCAACTGTACTACCCTTCTCCAGCCATTTTTCTTACACCATAGTACTACTTGCATTAAAGTCTCAAGACCAGGACTGTTCTTAAGACTCCCTAATAATTATTATTTTTCTTATCAATTAATCTTTACAACTTTAGAAGCTGTTTACAACTTAACAAATTGTGTTAAAATATATTTTCTTTTTAAAGATTCTAATTTGAATAGTTTGTTTTATTGTTGGCTGGTGGTCAGAAGTTAGACACATCATCAACCCACAACACACTGAGTCTCTGTCTCTGTCTCTGACCTCAACCCCACCTAAAGATGTATCAGGAGAAAGTATACTTATATGCCCACATGTTCTTTTTTCTAATTAAATGTATACAGTACACTGTTTAGTCTCAATAATCCAGTCTGACAAAGCTTTGCTGATACCAAATAGGTTTTCTGGTGTCACTAAGGACAAAAAGTTAGCACGACTGCTTCAACATTTTTAGGACATCACCTACGGAATAGCTTTAGAGTTAGACTGCGTCTTTTATAAGTACTAGTCATATTAAAACATCCCCTGCAAACACAACCCGACCACAAACAGAATAGTCCTCAGCTAAATACGTTTACCATTAAATAACCCTCCCCATATCTACACAGCTAATGCCCGTCTACTCCGTCGCAAACAAATCCAATGACTCTATCTGTCCGTGTGTATTTAGCTAATGCCAAGAGTCAGAGGGTTTAGTATAAGCCACACTGTCAGTTCACTAATAAAGTCTCATTTGTTAGCCTACCACCTAGCATTAGCAGCTACTAACAGCTCGTCCTTCGTCACGACTCAAACCAAACCAGTGAGGCGTATACACATCAAAAAAACATATTGTAATGACAGAGGTTAGTCACCGTTAGCTGAAAAAAGGTTGTGAATAGCCATATTACTGGAGAAAGGAATGGAGGTCTTTCTGTGTAGTTGTGTTAGGTTCGTTTAAGAGCAGCCCATCCGCATCCCTGTTCGCCTTGCCCGTGAGGAAAATGAAAACCATGTCGTCCTTTGGACGACTTTGCTGACCAACCTATTATTTTCCACAGAAATTTCAAAATGATGCATATAGGCTAAAATCAACCCTGCACCATCTGTTTTCTTTTTAACCTTCTTTTTATGCAGCCTATCTTTTAGGCACTGAGTATCCGTCCGTACTTCGTGTTAATAATCGATCTATCGAGGCAGCATCATCTGAGCTTGTTACCCCCCCCTACAGCGCTTGCCTCTTTATCTTACTTACCTCAGCTGAGAGAAAAATAAATAAAATCCTTGTTAATTTAAATGTCTTGTTTATCATCATGGCATTTCATTAGTGTGTTTTTGTTCCTATGAACCATGGGTATCCGATGTGCAAAACCCCTTCTAGGTTATCGAGCCGAGGCAATAACAGTAGCTGACATCTCCCATCCCACTTCCTAGACAAAGCTTTAATTTACATATCGGTGTTCTCATTGGTTAGATCCGCAGATGACGTAATGTCACGTTCCTGCGTCCGTCAGTACCACGCCCTTAATTACAAACCATTTCTATTTATTTATTCGATTGTTGAATGAGCTTTAGTTTATTTTGGGATATTTTCAATATTCAAATTACTAAACATATAATTGTTTTAATTATGGTATTATCTCTGTTGACAGCTTAGTATCATACTGTTTTGGACATCCAACCGATGAGCTGGAGATGTCTGCTCTTGACGAGATCTTTCCGAAATATGAGAGGGAAGTGAGCTGGAACCTGTTACATAACATGACAACAGACAGTGTGGTGATATTTTATAATATAGCCCCCGATTCACAGTGTAACCTACGCTGATTTTGTTATAGAATATTATGCTACCGTATACGGTAGAAGCAACACAGGGAATAAGCACCAAATTGGACATTTTAGAGGAATTTATTACTGACCTGCAGGGTACAGTGCTGAGTAAATTACAGCAATACGTTTTAGTAAAATTACTTCTTATTGTGTCATTTAAAAAAATAAGGCTAAAAGCTTATAATTTTCCTTCCTTCCATAAAGCTGTTCAGACCCGCTGCGCAATGCTAAACGAATTGATCGCCTTATTCCATATGATACGGCGAAGAAGATAATACATCCCTGGCACTCCTGTAATTAAGTTCACCACTTTTGTAGACTTGTTGTATTGTCTCCTACGCACCGTCCGCAATCTTTGTTAATGAATGAAATAGGCTACAATGTGTATTTTAGATCACTAGAAGAGACCGCTATACACACGGCTCCGGTTGCAGTTACAGAGAATATCCACTTGATGGCGACAGAGTTTAATGGACTGTTTTGAGGTTCCTTACACGTGATGTAGCAATTCATATAACAATATCTTAAATTGAAGTTGAAATGCCTTTAGGTGCTCAGTGAAAACAGAATGATATTGTAATTTCGAAAGGAAACTATTTTATGTTCACACTTTAGATACCAAGATGTGTGTTGCACTCTGGTAGCTTGTTGACAAAGGTACAATGCAGAGTTTTCCCACGGGTATTACCTCACACGCTGCAAATGTTGCTGTGAGTAGGGGGGTATGATAATTATTTTCATGACTGTATATTTCAGGGTCGTTCTGTGCTACAGTCATTGTCATTTTCACCTTGGGATGGGTGTGACAAACAGCCTATTAGTAATCCATGGGGCTAATTCATCTGAGTGTTAGTTTGGTGCCTTCACGTGCTAATCAAACACCGTTATTATTTGCATAATTATTTACACCATTAACTAATTGCTAAATTGTCAAATAATTCGTTTGTCTAATGAATTACAGTGCTCATGTTCAAGAAATAAAAATAAATCCATTAAGTCTGTGGCCAGATTAATCTGCTAGAGGTGCTCCTAAGCCTTTTGACCAGTGCAGTTTCATTAGGCTATTTCCTCAGACAACACTGACCAGTGCTCTAGAGCTAAATTAGTTGGATAATCAGATAGCTATCAAACTGACAGAATAGGATAACCGATGAATCATTTAAGACATATTAATGCAAACTTTATTTAAACTAGACTCACTTTTAATGTGACTATTTAGCCTATTGCTTTTCTGAATCGCCTTTATACTGAAAATCCTTAGGCTTTAGACTGTTGGTATGTTCACTGGGGCTTTAGGGATTAGTAATGGGCCTTATGGCACTTTACACTAAACAATCACTGAGTTAAAGGAACTAAATGCACTGATTTAAAAAGAGAGGCTAAGTAAATAGGCTGCAACTCTGGTCTCTGGACAGTTGTCCAGTGTACATGGTTGGTGAATTAGGTTAATAGGCCTAAATTGGTAAATACAAGTTAAAAAAAATACATGTACTGTGTATTTATTTATTCCTAAGTGATTTCCCAGGTCTTTTGTTTCAAAGTTGCTATGAAACGTTCATACTCAGTTGACAGTCTTCCAGCTCTCCGCCCCCAGATAACGTCACATGTTGCCCTAACTCCCTCAGTCGTCCTTTTTCCGACAGCAGTCTAAAGCAGCATTAAGACCTTTAGTGGTAACGTCGCTCGGAGGAAACAAAGTAAGGGGAAACAAATATGAGACGCCCGGCAAATTTAATAACCGTGTTTCTAACAACAGCTATTCTTCTACTTTGCCTGCTTTCAGCCAGAGGTAAGTCTTTTTTTTATAACCTCGGACACATCTCAAATCTGATTAATCGCTTTTATACAAAACAAACAGTTACTTAGACTACTTGTGTCTGTAGTCTGCTTCTCTTTGCCACTGGATGCTGTTAGGTATTTTTAGTCAGATAGAAATTGAACAGATACTTTATGTATTAGAAATGTTTAGTGGAGATAGGATGTCTAGTTAGACTGTTAAATGCTTAGGCCTGCTTATGAGTTTCTACAGGGTACATCTGGTCAAGGATAACTAGAGAGAAGAGTTGATGACTGTCAGCAGACAGGGTGTTTAATATTATTATTATGACGTGTATAACTGTAGCCTTAGCCATAATATGTTCTTATGTTTAATGTCACGACATGTCACTAGAGGTCATGTGAGAATGTTTTTAGTTACACACCACTTAATCAACAGACACACACACATTGATTTGCTTCATGTTTTGACTACTGCTATGACCAGCTGCAAAGCTGGTAACAGAGACGTCTCGGTTGACGTTTCTGTGTAGTATGGGGCTAGCCCAACCGAGGGGATATAATGTATAGGCTGGTAAAAAGTACGGGGTACAACAATTCCATCTAGTCTTATTTTACATGGTGTTTTCTTCCTTTTCTTTATTACGGTGTTAGTGCGTCCAGTCTTTAGGCTTGTAATCAAACTAAGTGGGAGCTTTAAATGGCAAAGGGGTAAGTGTTTGTGCAAGGGGGTCATTTAAATGAATCTGTAATCAGCTTCTCCTATATGTTCAATGTCTTTCTTTTTACACATGTTTTAAAACAGTCATTACAAAATAAAAAAATTGCAGGCCTAACCTGAAAAGAAACGACTCCAACACCCAGGGTTCAGTCATGAAGATGTGCAGTTTTTCCTGAAATTTGTACTCTGTGTTCCAAGATACCAGCTTATTATGGTCATTGTAAAATGGGTGATTAAATGGATGCTACTTGAAGAACTGAACATTTAAGTTTTTCTGAACTGCACCTCCCAAGTTGCTCTTACAAAGACCAAAAGGGGCTCTTCCTGCTAACAGTATGTTTGTTGCAGTTATAGTCTTAGGGTATATTGTAAGGTATTGTTGTTTCTGTGGACGCCTTTCAGATCACAGGTGGTGCCGGTGGATTGGAACATAGCACCATATGTGATCTTGTCTGAAGCCAGCATGAACCAGCTGTCCACTAAATTTAGTTCAAGCTGGAAATGTGCTGCCAACCATAAGCATTTAAATCTCTCTGGTTCAGATCAGGAGACACCAAGTGTTTGGACTGTCTTTTCCAGCCTGTGACTTCTGTTCTGATGTTTGTGTACATTCAGGACCTATTGCTCCGCTCCTTCCCCATCTGTCAGTCAGGTGTGCTGTGTGTCCTGAAAGACTCCTGAGCTGCTGCACAGTCATGTTGTGTAACTGCTCATTCCTGATAGAGCTGCACACGTCTGTGCAACCTGGCTAATCCTGCACATATTAGACACTGTTGTCAGTGTTGTTTGCATCAAATGTGTTGTTTGTTTAGACTTTCCATTAGAATCCACTGGTTACCAAATCTTATTTTCAGAGCTGAAACAATTAGTCAACCACAAAATATCAGCAACTCTTTTGATAATCAATAAATTAAAAAAGGTGTTTTCAAGCCAAAATATTTTGCTGGTTCCAGCTTTTTAATTCTGGGGAGTTGTGGCTTTTCTTTGTGTTAATGTGATAACAAATTTAATATATTTGAGTTTTGGACTGTTAGTCGGACAAAATAAAACATTTCATGATGTCACCTTGGACCTTAGAAAACAGACAAAATGACAGGTGTATTCAATATTCTCACATCCAATAAACAAAAAGATCATTTGAGAAAATAAGTGGTTGATGAATCAATAATGAAAATAGTCAGTTGCAGCTCTAATTTCAGTATATGCAATGGGAGACTCTGCTGTTACAGCCTGGTTTCATACACTTAGAGAGTGTAAATATAGAGCTAAAAAAAACAACAACAAAATACTCATAACTCACTTTTGCACTTCTATTCCCAAAATTATTCACTTTCCATTTTTAGAATGTTGTTTCCTTATCAAACTCCGCTGTGACCAGTTTTATTAAGCAATGTAGAACTTCATTTTGCTGTATAAACTGTTCCCTCCCCTCTCAGATTTGTTGTCATGTTAAAACATGCCACTTTAGTAGCAAAGCCGGTCTGCCCTGTTCAAAGAGGTCTGACAGCAACTGTTAAACAGCTTGTGACAAAATTTGTCACAAAGTCGTTGTGCTTTACAATATCACATTTACATGGCTCATTGTTGACAATAGAAAGTCTGCAGTCTTCACAAATGTCCTACAGGTTTTTGCCACACAGATGCAAAATAAAATGACAACAAAGTCATTAGAGTTTGACTAACCCTGATGTGGCATTTGATGAGTCAACGGCTGCATTCAAAAAAAAAAAAAAAACGGGAA